CTGGTCTTCTTTGAATGAGCGTCGGCGAAGAGCTTCTTTTACGCTTTTGCGGGCTTTCCAATTTGGAAGCATAGCACTGAGTTCACTGGCATAGTCACGTAATTGAGATGGGTCAGATTCGGCGGACAAGTTATATTTTTCTTGGAACAGGTCCAAAATCGAGGTAAAGTTATTAGTTCTGGGCTTTCGGGTTTTTCGGAGAGTTGCCATGATAGATATATATCGATAAGTAGATTGTGATTGTACATTAACCTACTTATTTTTTCAAATCGAAATTAATTATCATGAGTCGGTATATATACTCGAAAATTGAATGGGTAGCGATTAATGTAATTCTATCGAGAAATGGATATGAGTAAGACACGAGATCAATCAGACACGAAGTGCCATTTCTCCCGAAATAAAGTCTTGGAATCCGTAGCTTTACATAATAAAATTACTAAAAATATCAATGGGATCAAAGAAGATATAGCATTACTTAAAGAGGTTTTGGGAAAAATAATCGGTATATGCCAAGCGCATGATTATACTTCATGTCTAGAATCGGGTAAGTCGGGTATATGATTCTCAATCATAGCAATTTGTATACACAATTTATCCTGCTTTTTTTGTTGATAATATTCTCTTTTTCGATACTTACTTGCGTGATCCCGGCATGCACCATATTTAGAATAAGTTAGCTTACCACAACCATATTCTTTACAAGGAATCCGTGTAGGAGAATTTCGATGAAGTTTACATCCTTCTGGTTGATTACAACCTCGACCACAGACTTTACCAGTTCTAAGAATATAAGGACAACGATAGAGTCCCATATTTATTGTCAATAATAATGATATAGAATAATTAATTTCATTTTAAAGTTTTTCGGGTCAAGTATAACACTTTTATTTTTGGGTTAAGTATAATTCTTTAGTTTATAACTATATACTACATATACAACTAACGCATATATACAAATCAATAAAATGAGTTTATCTAGTGAAGCAAAAAAATATCTCCATGAATCATTACAACAACAGTGCTTGAATCAAAAGTCGGCCGAATATGGCGAGGCAAAGAAACTCCTCTCTGGTTTAACCGATCTTAATTACAAACCTGGCCATGGAGAACATAGGTATTTTGAATATTTGCTTCCATCTAATGCACAGGGTGAACTTACTTCGGAAGATAATACAAAGAATATAGCACTATTGGAGGCATATCATCCAGAAGAGATTAATTCTCAATATATAATTCGGGTTGCAGGAAAAGGCTTTACAGCAATAGATCATCCTTCTGAAATTTATAAAATACCTGATGCACATGAATGCATTGACGGGAACCAGCCCCTTCGTCCTATATTGGATATTGATGCAAGGCAAAAACCAGATCCTACAAATCCAGAACTTCCTTCTTTAGATGGCGAAAAAATTACTCACAAAGATTTGATGTCTAGAATATTAATTGCCTGTGCAGATGCATTGTATCTTATACCGGGATGTATGGTTTCATTAAATAATTTTGCTTTAGCTAGTTCATCAAATATTGATAAATGTAGCTGGCATATTATTTACCCTTATGCATGATTTATTGATTATAGAGATCTCAAAGGCTTTACGGAAAAAGTCATTGAATTGGTAGGAAAACCTTACTCGAAGTTTATAGATGTTGGCCTTCCCAAATCTCATTTTAGTCTTCGGCTTCTTGGATCGGCAAAAGAAGGCAGAGTTAAAAGACCTGCGATCTCTTCAGTTAAAAATAGATTTCACAAGTTAGAAGATTATTTGGTTCAGCCTAAAGCGAATTGTTCTGAAATCTGGCCACGAACCTTTTCTTCTGAGAAGCCAGCAGAGAAATTTCAACCTATCGAAGATGAAGGTGCCTTGAATAAAGGAGCCAATCTAGTTATTGCAAAATATGGGTGGCTCCAGATTGGAAGAATCGAGAAGGGATTCATCAACTTTCAAGCACAATCCGTATTATGTAATAATGAGCTCCGCTCTAAAGAATGTCCTATATGTGATGTTAAACATGATAAGGATCAACTCTATGGATTTATTCGAAAAAATGGTCATTTTATACTCAAGTGCTATCAACAAAAACAATATAAACTGGATCACAAGGGCCTTAGCTTCGATAAGGTATCAGATAAAGTAGAATCGAAAGTGAAACCTAAGTGGAGATTAATTGAAAGATTACCCAAGGCTTTATCAACTCCACATCAATTTCCTGAATTACCTGGGGAAAGTATTAATGTAAAAGAAATGGAGGATGCCCTAGATGCTTTTCCAGACTTCTTAAGTGAAGAGCCTAGTACTACTCTTATTTGTTCTACTGTAGGTACTGGGAAAACTAAAACATTAAGAAAAATTTTGGCATCTTTAGCTCAAAGTGATGCTAATTTACCTTGTACTATCTGGGTTTCATATCGCAAAACCCTTAGTAATGAATCTGAAGCTAAACTTAAAGAATTGGAAAAATTCGATTTCAAAGTAGGGCAATATCAGAATATTGTGGCTGACCTAAAGACATGTGAGTGGGATCTTATTATTGTACAAGTTGAAAGTATTCTTCGTCTTGATTTTCAAGGGGGTCGTTCCTGTATAGCAATTTTAGATGAAGCAAATGCCACTATGCATCAAATGACTAGTGGGATTCATGCTCGAGAATCGTCAAATGCTATGCGCGATTTGTTAAAGTTAGCCACTCATGTTGTTGCTATGGACGCTTTTGCAAATGATTCGACTTTAGCTTTCTTAAAATCCTATCGAGGTGAGAATGTTCGAGTTATTGATAACAAATATCAACCACGTAAAGGGGAAATTGTTAAACTTCTGTACGATCCGGATAAAGGTTCAGAAGGTATACGTAGAGGTCTTAGAATGCTTCAAGAAGGTAAGCATGTTGCATTTGTGATGACCTCATGTAAAAAAGCTTGAGCCTTAGCTGATCAAGCATCTAAGTTGCAAAAACCTGATGGTTCATTCATTTCATCACGAGTTTATTTTGGCCAAATGGATGGGAAGCAACGCCAAGATGATTTTGCTAATATTGATGCCACCTGGAGTGCTCTTGACTGTGTAATTTATACAAGCACTGTGGAAGCTGGCATCTCCTTTGAAATATCTGATTATTTCGATGCAGTTATAGGAATTACTAATATTGCCACTCCAGTTCATGTTGAAGCATTTGCTCAGATGTTGTTCAGAATCCGCGACTGCCATTACGTATGGTTTCCCTTCATCACAGCAAAAAATTTGATATTTTCAAAGAACCATGTCGGGAACTCATTCGGGCTGAACTTTCAGCCTTAAGACCTGGAGACTTACCAACAGTAATCAAAGGCCAGCGTGAATGGGATAAAATTGCTGATTGTTATGCACTTAATTTATCTCCAGCAGTGGAAACCTATATCGAAGTTGAATATCAGAGACGCTTATCAACCAAATATTTTCCCGAGATTCTTTGTAGCCTTATTGCTAGTACTGGAGCATCACTTGAGTTAATCTCAATAGAAGATGCTGAAAAAGTTAACAGGAAAGAAGTTTCTCATACTATTAAAAATATTGAGAAAATAATTAAAGGTGCAGATGCAGAATTAATAGTTAATGCCCCAGATATTAGTCCCGATGAAGCTGAAATTCTTAAGCAAAATCCCATACGCTCTTTTACTGATAACTTGACTTTACAACGACATTATTTGTGGAAAATATATGCTTCAGGTGATATCGGAGGTAAGGATGATACTAAAGACTGGGGCATGAACAATGATGATTGGATTAAACTTTGTGACAAAGATTTCGTAGAAAGATTCAATGATCCTGAACCATTACAATATTTTAGAAGACTGGCATATTTCAGAAGACAAGGTTCCAATGCAACAAAAGCCATAGAAAATCTGAAAATCAAAGAAGAAATGCAATGGGAAGATTCACATGAATCTATGGATCCGTCATCAGTTGATTTGCATAAATTTTATTCAGCAAAACAGTGGAAAGCAGTACATAATCTTGTTCAATCAATAGGCTTCAATGATATTGATGACACGAATATTCTTTCTGGCGATGATGTGACAAAAGTTTTCAAACAATCACGGGAAAAAATTGTTAAAATTCGAGAAGATGCATTATTACTCTTTGGTTTTAAGACCCGAGCTAAAGGAATACCTGACCTTAATGCTACAATAAAATTTATTAATGCAATACTGAGTAATTGGTGTGGTTATACTATCAAGAGTGGAGAAACTCGTGTAGGTTCCAAGGGGCATCAAATACGGAAAAAAACATATTGGATTCATCGTGTGCCAGATAATGAAGCTGGGTTTGAAACTCAAGAAGGAATAATGGCTATAAAGTTGAATGTTCCTAATTATCGTCCTACAAATCCAGTTCTTCCACCATATAAACCTGAATCGATTGATGAAACTCAAGAACTTTTCGATTCGATACCCATTACTACTGATATCACCATTTCAAAATCCAGTAATGAGGTTTGTGAAAAGAGTTCTTGCAATAACATAGTTGAAAAATCCGTA